GTCGCCGGTCCCTGGGGCCAGGGCCGGTCTTGTAAGTAGCAAAACTGACGTCTCTGTACCACACGACTGTGCTGTCCTCCCTGTCGTGACCTGCCCGGTGGACGTCCAGAGCCACCGGCACAGTTAGGGGACAGCAGTGCCCTCAGAATAGCAACGATGGGACACTACCCAACACCCACCGCCACACAGACCAGTGGAGGCCTCGGGCCGCGCTGGGGCGGTTGTGTGGGCGTGAGGCCGGGCCCGGAGGTCGGCAGGGGGAAGCGTGAGAGGCAGTGGACGCAGAGGAAGCTAAATCGATTGGCGTTTATTTCCTCTTCTTGGAAGTTTTTTGGGGTGTGTAATGTAAGAGGGCTGCTGAAGACTGAGCACAGCCTACACGAGGGAGAGGAGGGCGGGGACGCAGGAGGGAGGGGGCGCGGGGCTGGGCGGGGGGCTGGCCACACGGAGGGAGAGAGCTGGCTTCCTCTGTCCGCCCTCCGCCCTGCGCTCTGCGGGCCACGCAAGCCGCAGTCGATCCACAGATCACAGAGGACAACCCGGCTCCGCGATCGGAGGGCCCGCCCGGCCAGGGTGGTGTGGACCCTGGGTCCCCGTGCTGGGCCCGGTGTGCCCCGTATTCCCGTAGGTGCCAGGGCTGTGGACGGGCACAACATAGTCCCTCCTGGGGAGCAGCTCAGGAGAGCTGACGGGCGGGGGCCGGCCGCCTGACACTGGCCGCTGTCCCTGTCCTCCACAGGCTCCTCCGCCGGCTGCTTCTGGGCCGAGAGCTGCATCACCCTGGTGCCCTACACGCTGGTGCACCCCCGCAGGCCCAGCCGGCCCCGGCCCGTGCTCTTCGTGCCCAGGCTGCTCGGGAAGATCCTGAGTGAGAAGCTGTGCCTCCTCCAAGGGTTTCAGAAATGCCAAGCAGGTATGCTGCCACCTGAGAGCCCCAGCTGTCGTCAGGAGGTGGGGCTCGGCCTTGGCAGACACCATATCCACTTTCTGCGGAGCAGTGACACGGACTGTGCGAGTGGTCACAGATGCCACAAACCGGGCTGCCCATAGCGACAGGCTCGCTCTCTCCTGGTTCTGGGGCTGGCAGTCCGGAAGCCAGGCGCCTGCAGCCCGCACCCCTGCAGTGAGCGGGGGGAGGGCTCCCCGTGGCCCTCCGGCTCTGCTGGCCGCCAGCGTCCTTGGCTTTCCTCGGCTGTGGCCACGTCTCTCTTCCTCGTCGCTTGGTCTTCTCTCGTGTGCGTCTCTGTCCTCACCCGACCTTCCTGGAAGGGAACCGGTCTTTGTGTAGGGCCCCCACGTGCAGCAGGGATGCACCCTGACTGCTCACGCCCACGAAGACCCCGTTTCCAAGCACAGTCGCACTCCAAGGCTCCAGGTGGACACGAATCTGGGGGACACCGTTCACTCGGTGCAGCTACCGCTGTACTTAGCTGGGTGGTCCCGCCTCAGGGTGCCGCCCGCCCGCCACAGGCTGCTTGGTGGAGTCCCGGAGACACAGCGGCCCCGGTCCAAGCGTCTTCCCGCGGCGGGAGGGTGGTCCCCTGGCCGGAGAGCAGCCGCGAGGCGTCTGTCGGCACTTTCACACGCCTGACAGCACCTACGAGCTGTCTGCACCGGGGCCCCCACGAGCTGGGGCCACTTTGGATGGGGGGGGCAGGCAGGGGCATGTGCAGTTCTGTCGGAGGGGCCTGGGGGGGTCAGAACCAAGAGAAGCTGTTTGGGAAGAAAGGCAGAGTGGGGGTACGTTTAAACAGGTTTATTTAGGGCAGGTCTCAGCCTTGGCACTATGACATTTGGGTGGGACTGTCCTGTGCATCGTAGGAGGTTCAGTGACATCCCTAGCCTCAACCCACTAGATGCCAGTGGCACACCCCCTGCCCCCCAGATGTGACAGCTAAAAATGTCTCCAGACATTGCCAAGTACCCCTTGGAGGCCAAATTGCCCCTGGCCGAGAACCAGTGATTTGAAGCATCGAAGGGATTTCTAGGTGTCGGAAGTTGGATATGAGCGTTTGGAGCTTGGGGAGTGACGGAGAAGGGGTGTGTTTATCTACACCTGTCTGTCCAGCTCTCCATCCTTTCCTCCATTTCTCTCTCCTCCCTCCCTCCCACCCATGCCCCACGCCCAGGCACTAACGGAGCACCTGCCAGTCCCATGGTTTAGGATGAATGTGGCAGGCACAGCCTCCTCTGAACGGGAAGGCCAGGGCTGTGACGAGGACGCGCTTCCCCTGAGCGGGCAGGTGTCAGCGGGGCGGTGCTGCACAGCACGGGGCTCCCTCAGGACCCCACGCAGCTGGGTGTGTGACCTGCCTGTCCGCTATCACTTTCAGAGTACTTGAGCCAGGAGGAGTACGATGCCTCCAGCCAGAGAGGAGACATCATCCAGGAGACGGAGGTGTCTGGAGGCCACTGCTGGGTGACCACGCGGCCGGCTGTGGAGTTCCTCATGGAAAAGGTCAGGGGAGGGGCCGGGGACTGCCCTGGGGACTTGGGGACTCCGTCTCCAGAGGAGGGTGCTGGGATAGGCAAGGACAGCCATGACATCTGAGGGATGCTGGGCCCTGCACCCCCACCCCGACAGCCCAGGTTTCTGCTCCGCTTGTTCTGGCTTGGTGTTCAGACAGCACGGAAGGACCAAGCCATTTCCGTTTAGGGCCCCGTGACCCTAGGCGGGTCTCCTTGAGCCTGTGCCCTCAACGCAGGAGACGTTCAATGACATTTGTTTAATGAATAAACAAAATGCAGACACTACTTCGTGTTTTAAGGCTTAAACCAAGCCTTAAAATGAAAGGAAGCTCGCTGTGACTGGAAGTTTCCTATCGATGCGAAGAGCAGGCTGGACGCCCCGTTCTTCCCAACCCGCAGCCAGCGGGGGAGCAGCAGCCGTCTGGCCCCTGGGGATCAGCCCTTGAGAGGCTCCCTCAACCCAGCTTGCAGTCTCTAGCCTTCTCCGGTGGAAAACCAAGCAGATAGAAACTTTCCTTGTTACTGCAGTTCTTTTTCAATCGTGGTGACGTCCGTGACTTTCTGGTGTGCAACAAACTCACGTCCGCGTGCGCTGGAGCCATTCGCCCCGGAAGCCACGTGCATCCCACCCGCTTCCTCTGTGGCGCCCGCCGTTCTGTTCTCTGTACCTATGAGTTTATTTCTCTGTTTTGTTTGTTCACTTTTTGAATATTCCACAGAGGAGTGAAATCGTGGTTTTCGTCTTTCTCCATCAGACCCGTTTCCCTCAGCCGGACCCCTCAGGGCGGGCGGGGACCAGGCTGCGGTCGGCACCGCGCGCACACAGGGGCGTTGAACTGTCCCCCGCGTCCCTCTAGCGTCCTGCCGCTGCCGGCGTGGCTCTTCGCTTCCTCTGCGGGCGCAGATCTTGCCTCACCCGTCCCTCCTCCCCCCAGAACACCCACGCCCTCCTGGACGTCCGGCTGGACAGCGTCCGTGCGCTGCACACCATGGAGATCTTCCCCATCGTCGTCCACGTCTCCGTGAACGAGAAGGCAGCGAAGAGACTCAGGTAGCTGGGCCCCTGGGGCTGGCGTGGGTTTGGGCTGGGGCTGCGGCTCCCGTGAGGCCCACGTGCCCCCGGCACTCGGGACAGGTGTGCAGGAACCAACTCACCCCGTGCCAGCCCCTGCAAGTATCACAGGGCAGTTTTTCCGCCACTCCGGGGCAAAGCTCCCGCTGGCCTCCCCCGAGACACAGTCCAAGGACAGCGAGGCGAGAACCTGGACTGGCCCTACCTCACTAAGGCCACCTGTTAGCCAGGGGCACACAGGGAACAGCCGTCTGTGGCAGGCGAGGACCGACGCTGAAAGCCACACCAGGCGGATGGCCAGGGACAGGCCCAGATGTCCTGTGGCCCTGTTTATCATTTGACAGTTGAAGTCATGAACCAGACAAACCTGTCCCCCATCAGCATAGTCATCTGGGGCCCCGAGTTATGTCTTCTTCACAAGGACCCCTCGAAACCAGCCTCCTGCGTCCAGGGGTGTTTGGCCACCTCCCTGGGGCTCTGCACAGCACAGCAGGCACCCTGACCCCCTCAGCCCGCCCTGCCCCATGTCCGCCCCACAGGAAGCCCCTGCAGCGGCTCGGCACCTCGGAGGAGCAGCTCCTGGACGCCAGCAGGCAGGAGGAGGGTGAGCTGGACAAAGCGCCCTGTCTGTACAGCAGCCTGGCCCCTGACGGCTGGAGCGACCTGGACACCCTGCTCAGCTGTGTCCGCTTCGCCATTGCAGACGAGCAGAAGAAGGTTGTGTGGACGGAGCAGAGCCCCCGCTGATGCCCGAGTCCTCTCCCGGGCTGTGGGGACCTCTGCGTCCCCATTTGCTGCAGCCCGGTGCTTGGAGCTCACGGCCTTGCAGGCACAGCTCTGGGGCGCTCACCAAGCCAGTCCTCAGGGCGTGGGCTCCCCTCTCCCTGGGGTCTGACCTTGAACCCGCACCGCGTGCAGGCCACACACGGGCATTCGAACCACCTGCTCGCTGTTCTGTGCAACTGCCTCACCTCGGCAGTGCTCGCCGTGTCTGAACTGGACGCCCCAAGACATTTCCGCGGTGAGGGCGTCTTCTGCCCTCTCCCCAGGCCAGTCGCCCAGATGCACCCACACAGCCACCCGCTGACCCAGATGCCACATGTTCCTTCTTCATTCCACCATGTCAAAGGGCTCGTCACAAACCCACTGAGTGGCAGGGCTGGCCCTGCAGAGCACAGGCACGGAGCCACCTACGCCGGAACCCTGGCTCGCTTTTCCCGGCTTCTGATGCTGAGAAGCCTCAGTAACTCGTCCACAGACCACGTGTACCAGCAAATATCTCCGAGCGATGGCAGCAGTTATTTCCAATGGGTCTGCACCTGGTGGCCGCCATGCCTGGCCCCGGACCCGTGGGGGCGTCCTGGAGAGGCCTCACACAAACACCTCTGCATGGTGCCGGCTGGGCTCCCAGAGAACGGGCCCCCCTGCCCGGCCATCTCTACCTCCCCCAGGCCCCCACCACCGGCTCTGCCCCCCACTGCCAGACTGAACAGCATCCTGGCAGCAGTGCCCGATGAGGGCGCTCCAGGAAGCCGCCCCAGGACGCGGGTGGCATTGCCGTAATCAAGTTCAGAAACGAACTCTGGTGTATTTTGCTAAAATAAAAAGCTTTTGCAGTGCTCTGGCCTGTGGCTCTCTCCCCACAACCCCAGAATGGAGTGGATGGGGAGGGAGGGGTGACAGGAGCCACCCACTCAGGGGGAAAGCCCCCTTTTCTGGGTTTTCCCAGGAGGAGCTTCTGCTCTCGTGTGGGCAGAGGTGGGTCTGGATCATTCCAGGAACATCTGTGCCACGGATCCTGGTGTTCCTCCAACAGAGTGAACCCCGCTGAGGACGGGGGGTCTGCACCCTCGGGCGTTCAAAGAGAAGGACCAGCTTTGCCCACAGACCACAGGATCCAACTCGTTAGCTGGGGGCCAGCTGCCAATTGGTGGCCTGGTGGGGACCCAGCTCGCGGGTCTGGAACTTGACCGTGGGCCGTTCCCAAGGCTCCTTGGGACCAGACTGATCAAGGCCAGTACTGTGTGCCACGTACAATGCGGTTTGGGCTCACGTGGCACCTGGAGGCCCGTCTCCTCTTGGGAAGGGCACGGGGACCTTTGTGGGTTCCGAAGAATGAAGAGGGTCTTGAGGCCCAGGTCCCAGCCCCTCTTCCCGGAGACCGCCAACTCAACCCCAGAGAATAAGACCCCCTTGCCCAGACCACCCTCAGCTGTCCACGGGGGGAGCAGCTGGGGCACACACCCTGTACCCCGCTCCAGGTAGAGGCAGGAAGGACACCAGCATGGGGCGGGCAGCCCTCCTCGGAGGGGACTCAGAGGAAGGGCCGTGGTCAGTGCCCGAAAAGCTGGCCCCACGGGCTGTCACAGCTCGTTGTGCAGTGGCCGGCACTGGGGGGACAGCTTCTCCTCCAGGACTCCGTCAGGGGCGCACACCCAAGGGTCGTGCGTGTCCCACTGCCACTTGACCAGCTGGGCCCGCAGCAGCTCCAGGACCGGGGCGTAGCGTGGGTCGGCGGCCAGGTTCTGCGTCTCGTGGGGGTCCCGGCTCCGGTCGTACAGCTCCCAGCGCTCCCGGTAGTAGTAGCGATGCAGGTCCTTGTACCAGTGCGTGGGCCGGCCGGCCGCGGAGCGGTCCAGCAGGTCCTGGAAGGTGGGCGACACGTAGAAGTCCTGGTCGATGGGGAAGGGCATCTTGAAGTGGAGGTTGTGCAAGAGACGGAAGCTCTGGTGCTGCACCGAGCGCATGGGGTAGGACATGGTGACCTCGTGGAGGCTCTGGCTGCCGAAGACGGTGGCCCACGGTGGCTCCGCCTCCAGCGCCGGCAGGAGGGACCGGCCAGTGAGCCGGACGGGCTTCGAGCTGAAGATGGCGTAGTGGGGGTAGGGGATGGAGAACCAGTCCAAGACGGTGGGCGTGAGATCTGCAGGGGAGGCGGGCTCAGCGCGGGCGCCCCCTGGAAGGCCGGGGGGCCACCTCGCACGTCGGGTCACCAACGGGGTGGTGCGCCAACCCCGATTCCTCACCGCTCCGGACCACCATCCCTCCAACGGTGTGACCAGAGGCCCTAGCCTGGTGACATTCAGGGTCCCTCTAAGACCCTTCAGGCCTGCGAGGGCACCCCCACACCCCATGCTGGGCTCATGGCTCCCTGCACAGGCCGTGTGGCCATGGCAACACACTTCACCTCTCTGAGCCTCACGCTTGCGTTTGTAGAAGGGGTGGTGCCCCTTCCCCACCCAGGCGGTGTGAGCGGTGGTCCCCCTAACTTGCCGCCTCCACGACCCTTCCCCGTGGGCTGCAGGGCCATACCTAGGAGGCTCACGTAGGCCTCGCTGACCTGGCCCCAGCGTCCTGGGTGCTCTGGGGACGACACCAGCAAGGGCTCAGCAGTGCCCGGCCAGTACAGGTTGGTCCTGCCGCTGGGGAAGGGAACCCCGTTGTCAGACGTGAAGATCACGAGCGTGTCGTTCAGGACACCTGCCACCTGCAGCTCCTGGAGCACGAGTCCGATGCCTGCGGGTGGGCGGGGGTAGGGGGCTAGCCCCAGCGTCCTGGGTGCTCTGGGGACGACACCAGCAAGGGCTCAGCAGTGCCCGGCCAGTACAGGTTGGTCCTGCCGCTGGGGAAGGGAACCCCGTTGTCAGACGTGAAGATCACGAGCGTGTCGTTCAGGACACCTGCCGCCTGCAGCTCCTGGAGCACGAGTCCGATGCCTGCGGGTGGGCGGGGGGAGGGGGCTCAGCCGTGGACCCCGCAGAGGCGTGCACGCGGCCCCCCTCACCCAGCTGTGGACCCCGCAGAGGCGTGCACACGGCCCCCGATGTCGTTCAGGACACCTGCCGCCTGCAGCTCCTGGAGCACGAGTCCGATGCCTGCGGGTGGGCGGGGGGAGGGGGCTCAGCCGTGGACCCCGCAGAGGCGTGCACGCGGCCCCCCTCACCCAGCTGTGGACCCCGCAGAGGCGTGCACGCGGCCCCCTCACCCAGCTGTGGACCCCGCAGCTGTGGCCCCGCACGCGGCCCCCTCACCCAGCTGCTGGCCCCTGCACCCTCCTCTCCTTAAATCGCCCTGCCCGTCCTTCCCACCAGCCCAGGCCTCTCGCCCAGCCCCCTACCCAGCACCCTGTCCTGGAGCTGGCCTAGCATGCCCTCCGCCTGAGCCCTCCCCTCCAGGAGCACCGGCCACCTCTCGGCACTGCCTTGTCACCCCACGCAGCTGCTGGCTGTCACACACTAGCTTTTGTTTTCCAAAACCTCACGTCTGCCCATGAAACTAACAGGGACAGTCTCGACGGGGGCCAGAGACGGGGTTCCCTCCACACCTGCCCAGGTCACCGCCAACCAGCAGGACTAGCTGGGAAATGACAAAGGCACCAGCCCCCTGCAGTGCTAAGAGCGGCGGTTCCCCCAAAAGACACGTCCACCCAGAACCAGTGGACATGGCCTTTTGGGAAAGCGGGTCTCTGCAGATGTGATTATTGCTGATCCCTACATGAGATCACTCTGAACCACCCAGGAGGGCCCTACAGCCAACGAGTGTCCTCGTAAGAGAGACGAAAGGTGACACATGGAGAAGGCCACGTGGCTAGAGAGGCAGAGATGCACGACGCAGCCGTGGGCATGACGCGGGGCCACCCCAGGCTGGATGAGGCGAGGAAGGACTCTGCCCTGAAGGCCCCCCGGAACACGGCCCTGCCAATACTGTGATTCAGACTTCCGGCCCAGGGTGGGGGCCCAGCTGTGGCACACCCCATGGCCCAGGCTCCCTGAACCCACCTTGGTCCATCCGGCCGATGGTGGTGTACTGAGCAGCCAGGTCAGCTCGGGCTGCTGGAGTGTCAGGGATGAAGTAAGGCACCTGGGGGACAGGTGGGTAGGAGTCAAAGTCAGAACAGGTAGGCTGGGGAAACGGGTGGCCACCCCTCAAACTGGGATAGAGGACGGGGTGCTGGCCTCCCTCCCAGGGCCTGAAGCCATCTTCCTTCATGAAGGAGTTAGCCTCGAAATCCACAATTCTGGATACGTCATGCCACATCTTCACGCCTCTCTCTGCAGGCCCCACGGACGAGGACCTGGATGCAATGAGTCAGCGGGTCTGTTCTAAGTCACACACCTGTGACCAGGGCTTCGAGCCCGCGGGAGGGGCACAGGCCCGCACGTTTACAAGGCAGAGGAAGAAGGGTGGGCGGGCCCCCTACCAGCACATCCTGCGGGCCATAGGCCTGGGGCGTCCAGTCTGGGATCCGCCCCATGCCACTCTCGCCGTTGCCGAACTTCTCGCAGAAGGTCCCGTACTGCGGCTGCGAGTGCCCGCAGCGGTGCGGGTCGTGGAAAGCAACGTACAGGAAGAAGGGCCTGTGGGGGGGGGAATGCTGAGGTTGCCGGGGTGACGCCCCACCCGGCCTTCCCCTGGGAAGCCCCGTTCTTCAGGAGGAGACACCCCTCGTGGCTCTGCCTCCTCCCCTACCCTCCAAGTCTCCCGTGGTCCTCAGTGCCTCAGTTTCCCCATGTCCCCTCTTCCTGCGGCCAGAGTAACTTGAGTCTCGGGAAGCTTCTTCCCCACACCTGTTCGGTCATCCCTAACGGAGACCCTGGGATGTGCGCCCACGGGAGCTGACATTTGGCCGAGGAAGGGAGGTGGAGGGGCGGGCGCCTCTCGCACCTGTCGTCCTGAGTCTGCAGAAATTTCCGGACCAGCAGCTTGATCCTAGTGATGTTCCGTCCCACCTGGAGGACGGAGCCATTCTCCTCCGTGTACGCGAAGTCGAAGGGGAACACCGCCTCCGGCCCCACATGCTTCTTCCCAATGATGCCTGGAGGCGAGAGACCCGCCCAGAGCCCCTGGCGTCACCCACGCCCTCTGCTCCCCTCTGCGCCTGCCCACCCACGCCCCCAACCCCAGCAACTGGCAGCCCGGGGCCCCTGTTCTCAGTGCTCGGAGCAGGCAACTCCAGCTGAGCGCGGCTCAGGATGAGGCCCCACCCCCCGGGGCAGGGAGGAAGCTGCCATCCGGTCCCTACGTGGCACCCAGCCCCTCACCTGTGCGGACGCCCGCCTGGCGGAGCAGCAGCGGCAAGCTCTGCACCCGGTCGAACGAGCTGAAGTGGTGGACGCCCTGGTGCAGGCCGTACATCCCATTCTGGTGCTGTGGCAGCCACGGGTGAGGCGGGGCGGGGCTCCTGCTCCCCCATCGTCTCCCCGCCCTCCCTGGCCCGACTGGGACCCCAGGTGGCCAGCACCCAGCGAGATTCTCTCCCTTCTCAGTCCTCGCCCGACAGGCCCACGGTCCCTCCCGTAGGACGTGAGCAGGAAATACAACTGACCGGGAGGGTGGGCGCCAACGTTAGGGTGGCTTCTACTTTCCTCTTTTTGCTTATTTGTGCTATATCGAGAGTAAGTGTCCGTGCTCACCCGGGCTCACAGTGACATCAGGCACAACGGCCAAGGGCCAAGGGCGGAAGCCACCCAAGTGTCCCCGGACAGACGATGAGTAAACAAAATGTGCCATGTCTAGATGATGGAACATCACTCAGCCTTGAAAAGGAATGAGCTACTGACACATGCTGCGGCATGGGCGAACCTTGGGGACATCACGCTAAGTGAAATCAGCCAGTCACAAAGGGACAGATCCCGTACACTTCTGCTCGTGTGAGTACCAAGCAGGGCCAAATTCATAGAGACAGAAAGTAGAATGAGGTTACCAGGGGCAGGGGGAGGGGGTGGGGAGTGAGGGTTTAATGGGGACAGGGTGTCAGTTTGGGAGGATGAGCGTCCTGGAGATGGGACAGTGGTGACAGCTGCACAACAATGTGAACGTGCCTAATGCCACTGACAGAAACTTTTATGTGTGTACCTCTCAGCACAATAAAGACGGAGCAAATGGCGGCTCCACCGTCATGCGAGCTCCCAGGACAATGTCATAACAGGAGTTAACCCCTTGTTACGTGCCATATGTGTGACGTATAAATTGGCCAATCCCATAATAAGCTCGTGAGCGAGGGGTTGCTATGACCCCATGTGACAGGTGAGGAGTCAGGTGCATGAAGGTAAGTGATCTGCATGGTCGCACAGAGCAGCGTGGCAGGGCTCACGTGTGGGAAGTCGGAGCCCCCAGCCTGCACTTGGACTCGGCTGGGAGTGGGGGAGACAGAATGGGTGCGCCCCAGGGGAGACCAGGGAAGGGGCTCCCCCTCTGCCATGCCCTGCACCTGCCCGTGCGGTCCTCACCTGGGGCAGGCCGGTGAGGAGGCTGGCACGGCTGGGAGAGCAGCTGCTGACGGAGGTGAAGGCATTGCGGAAGACCAGACTGCGGCGGGCCAGCGCGTCCAGGTGGGGGGTGGCGATGGCGCTGTTGTTGTAGGCGCCACTCTCAAAGCCTCCGTCATCGGCTGAGGAAGGTGGGGGACACAGCGGGCATAGTGGGCTCGGCTCGGGGGAGCCACGTGTGGGAGGGAGACCAGGGTACTGCTGCAGTGGCCTGTGCCAGTGACGCTGGGCAGGGGTGCTACCTGGGGGGCGTCATACCTGGGAAGGCACGACACCCAGGTGGGCGTGAAACCGGGTGAGCATTCAGCAGGCAGGCGTGACACTCGGGTGGCCATGTTAGTGGGCAGGTGTGACTGGGCAGACACTGCACAAGGATGTGGGTCCATGTGCAGATTCTCCACCCGTGTCCCTGGGAGAGGGGGAGTTGACAGGAGCGCTCAGTGGAGAGCTGTTCATGTTAAACTAGCTGAAGGGCATGGCCGGAGACCACAGAGTTAATTGGA